CCCAAGTGTGCACATCAGAACCCTGGAGGGTTCTGTGCTGCCTCTCGGAGACGCCAGCTCCCCAAATATCAGCCACCAGGGAAATTTGGACAACTTTACTAAAAAACGCTTTCCCCGTTCTTACCCTGGACTACGATGACATACAGGTCCGTATCGAAATTTCGCTATGGGTGTTCTTTGCCTGTGTAATGAAACTAGGTGAGTCTCATGTGGCTCCTATTCATATTATGCAGATACTGTCTGTAGCCTGGTTTTGGCGGTCAAATTCTCCAGGAAATGGGCTGGGTGTGACAGGCTGTGTGGCCTGGGCTACAGGTGTAGTCACTACAGGTAGGTTTAGTCAGCCTGATTGCAGTCAGTTCTCTAGATGCACAATGACCTGCATATCAAAACAAATAAAGGCGAAATCTGTGTTATCAGACTGCTCTTTGGCTGAAAACCTGGTGTTAAAGAGAAGCCTGGAATGGAGTACACCGTGTCTGCTGACCAGATAGTGAACTCAACTTCAGACAAGAGACATTATAAATAAATTGGCATAGCCTACAGGTCTTGATTCAGATTACAAGCCTTTTAAAGGACCTTAACATGTAGTTATTGATGGGTTCACAACAGAAAGATAAAACCAATGAGTTTATAATTAAGGGATCATCTTTGGCCACCCTGCCATCAGGTATTCTGCATACCAAGCAAACATGTGCCTAGGATGCTATCTTTGACTAGAATAGCTTAGTTTGGTCCTTGACTCAGGATAAATCCATGTTGCTGGTCACGCTGAATACTTATCATATCTGTCAACTTCATGTGGAGAGTTGTTGTTTTTTTTGCCCCCATGTCCAGTTTTGCACTGCTGGTGACCGAGGACATCATTCAACACATCGTTGCCATGACGAACCTGCATGGCAGACGCACAAAGGGGAGCTAGTGAGATGTGGATGTGACTGAGCTTCAGGCTTATATGGGGCTCGTCATTTTGTCTGGAGTTTACAGGTCCAAGCATGAGTCGACAGTCAGCCTCTGGGACGAGAAAGATGGACGCAGCATTTTCCGGGCCACAATGTCAAATAAACGCTTCCACCAGATCACGCGGAGCCTGCGTTTCGAAGACAAGCTGTCTCGTCCCCGACACTGGGATGACAAAATGACTCCATCCCGACACATCTGGGACATGGATGGCGTGCCTATGTTCTTCAATCCAGATAGACATTTGTGTTGACGAGCAGCTGGTTCCGTTTAGAGCACGGCTTCAGACAATTTATGCCAAAAAAGCCAGCTAAATGTGGCATAAAAATCTGGGCTTTGTGCGACGTGAAAACCTCTTATACATGGAGGCTCCAAATCTACACCGGCAAAGACCTAGTTCGTGAAGTCAACCAGGGCATGAGAGTGGTCATGCAGATGACAGAGGGGCTCCGTGGACATGTGGTCACTTGTGACAGTTTTTTCACCTCCTTTCTTTCTCCTCCCAGGAGCTGCTGAACAATAAACGGGCACTGGTTGGCACAATCGGAGGAGCAAGCCAGAGCTTCCACCTCACCTGCTGCAGGCAAAAGGGAGAGAGCTATACTCCTCCACTTTTGCCTTCACCAGCACGCACACCCTTGTCTCCTACATACCGTTATGGGGCCAGAATGTGCTACTGCGCAGTACCAAGCACCACGACCCGATGTTGGCGAGGGACAGAAGAGGAAGCCAGTGATGATTGAAGATTACAACCGCTGCAAAGGAGGTGTTGACAACCTTGATAAGGCAGGTGCCATTATGCTTCAGTTACGCACACATTTATTTATTCTTACTCACATGTTCTTGTCAAAAATGTATGTAGATTTTTTTTTTTTTCAAATGAGCATTTTCATATAAAATAAATGTATCGTGAAAGAATACTTGGATCATTGATTCATATTGTATCGTTTTATTTTTTTGGGGTTTTCTTGTTAGGTTGTCGGCACATATGCCTGCAGGAGGAGAGCCAACAGGTGGTCACTGGCTCTCTTTCACAACCTGCTGGACGTGTCCCTTTACAATGCCTTTGTCCTGTGGACATGGCTGGATCCATCCTGGCAGGAACATAAAACCTGCAAGAGGAGGCTCTTCATCCGAGAGGTGGGAGAACAACTGGTGACGGCCCACATACAAAGGAGAGAGCGCCTTCCCCGGGCATCAACAGCTGCAGATCTAGTCATGGAACTGCAGGGTGTTAGCAAGCTTCGGATCCTTGGTATCAGAGGGAACATCACTAACAACATGCCTTCAAGGACGGGTTCGTACAGCCCTATGGAGAATGAAAAATGACTTAATTAGAAATAAATAAATGACTACATTAATGCATAAATAAAAGAATAAATAACTAAATGCATAATTAAAAGAAAAACAAATACATAAAAAATTTAATGTATAAATAAATGATTTAAATGTATTTTTAAATTGTTATATGTCTACCTTTCCACAAATCTAGTTTTTTTTTTTAGTTTTTTTTTTTTTATTTCTCCTGTATGCTAATGAGGTAGGTGGTTCTAACCCCACTCTAAAGCAGGATTGATAAACTGGGAGTGCCAGTAATGTATTCTGTATCATTCTACACAGACTATGCTCATGTTAGCTAACATACTGTGTTTACCTTGTAACCATAGTCTTTTAAGTTGGTATTACTTTATTGATTAACTTATAGCCTGTCCTCCTTACATAATTGAGCCTATGAATATGAGAAAAGGTTATTTGAATTCTCTCCTCTCTTCAGGTAGTCTTACAAATCCACATGAGTTCAGAGAATTCATTTTAGAAGCACATCCAAAACTCAGACAAGAGGGTGGATTTGAATTGGTCGAAATTTCTGGAACAACAAGAAGTCGGCAACTGATCCTCATCTCCTGTCCCAATGAGGGCTACCATGTGAGGCATTTGAAAGATCCACAAACCCAGATCAGTCATGCTACCATTTTCATTCGACCACTTCAACGGAACCTGAATCTGGAGCCTGGTAAGTGCCTTACTTTACATAAAACTGGTGCCGTCTTATTAACAGTCACACGATTGTTTCTTGTGTTTTACAATGAGCTTGTTTACAGGATTGTCAAGCAGGATGCAGAAGCGAACTGGTTGGACCACCTCAAAAATGTGTCACGTGTGGACATGAGTTCCCTTTTTCATACATAAAAGCTCATAGTGATGAATGCATAAGGTAATGCTTAATAGAGTGAAAACATCACAGTTGTCTACCAAACTGATACAGTTGTACCATACACGAAAGATTAAACTAAGTCTGCATTAAACATCTTGAGTGTGCATATAGGATCAATGATTACAGCTAAAAATGTACAAGAAAAAAATAGGTGAAATAAGTGCAGAGCAAACTTCATGACAAATCAGCACATCTTATGTGCCTAAATAAAGGATCCATATTTGGCATTTTTGATGCTAACAGTCCTTCTGTAATAGCCACATTCTTCTGTCTTCAGAAATGCATCCTAATGTGGAGGACACAATGGGCCATGCCTGGGTGGATTGAGCCCAGCAATCCTGCATGTGCTTTGTGGTGGATCCCATGAAGAAGCCACAATAGACATTAAGGACTGTGCTAACCTTGACATCTATGAGGCTATCAAATTGGTATGATACATTTTTTTAAGTAGATCTTATTGATAATATGCAGTGCAGTAACAATAAAAAAAATTATTACTGTATGTTTTGGGGTAAAATTGATCATCCTTTGAGTAAATATGGTTTTAACAGGTTACTGATTGAGAGGCCTGGCTTGTGATCACAAGTAAAATGAAAAAAAAATGTTATTTTCAATTCATTTTAAGACCAGTCAGTGGTGTTAAGTGTATGATTGATATTTATTAACATACTTGGCTGTCTGCTGACAGATTGTAAGGCTGTTGGGCTTTTCTGTTGCAAATTTGGCACTTTTCATAGAAATGACCTAACAGGAATTTTAAAGAAAGGAAATGGTGACAGATGATTTGGGAAAATGCTCAACATGACTGGAAAGTACTGAGCTTGTAGTTATTTTAGACATGCAAAACCACCAGTATTATGCTTGAATTTGCCTACAACCTCATTAAATGGCATTTTTTTTTTATTAGAATTGACATTTTTCTCATATTTTCTATTATGCATTTTGTTATGCTTTACTGTATATTCTCAAAGCTGTTTGAAAAAGTAAATTATTCAGATGGTCTTGGACAAGATAAAGTGGCCAACACAGGAAGAGGATGAAGACAGTGATGTGTTCCTAGAGGATACATGTAGGATCACAGGATTGCGTCACATATTTATTGAGAACGGTACATTAATTACTTTAATTGTCCTGTTTATTTAACTGAAGAGACTGTGCTTCATCTACTTCGTCTTTAATGAGAGATCATCTTGACTTTCTTTTGTGGGGGCAGCATCACTAAACCTGCTTGGAAAACGTCTGCGGTTCTGGGTAGGATGGAACGTGCTTCCCAGACAACTGAATGTTGAAGTGGAGGAGAGGAACTTCCCCAGGTCTTCCAGCTGCTAAAACTTCCAGGACATTACAAGGAGTACTGTATGTTTGAAAGAGACATTCTTGCTGCTCTGTGGAGCACCAACACTGGGTTTGGATTGGTCTAGAGACTGTACATAGAAATATAATTTAGTACACACTGATAATAGTGTAATTTGTTGTCTCGCTCGACCAGCCCAAAAACACTGAATTGCAGTTTAAAAAAAAAAAAAGCGATTACCTAGTGCCCAGTTCTGCCAGTGTGCAACATGTTATAAAAAGAGTGGTGGTAATCCTGAGTGTTACAGTTTTAAAGATAGGGAGACAAGCTTTTGGATTTAATGGTCAGTTTGTTATGATATAACGTGAAGTATAACCATAGTGGTTTTGAATGTTCAAAACTGAAAATGTCCTAGAATTGTTTTATGAAGACTGTTGTAAAATAAAGTTCTGTAATTGCCAACTTTTACTTTGGTATTAAAAATCATTGAAGATATCTGAATCAGCTGTACTAGGTAAATAATAATAATAATGCTATCACAATTCAACTGTTACCAGTAATGTAAACAATGGCTTCCTGTTACTTGGACATTCTACATCAGAGCTTGTGAAGCAGGAATTTATTGTAGCATTTCTGATAAGCAGCACACAGACATCCAACATGTTAGACAGAGGGCCATCAGGGTCTGGCAGACTTTCAACTCCCTGCTCAGTCAGTGAGCAATGTAGCTGCACCTCAGGGACCACAACATCAGGCTGACGATAGCCACAGTAAACTCCATACTCCGTGTCAACCTGCAAGTGCAAAGGAGATGTTGGGGTAAAGGCCTATTTAGCCAGAATCAGGTATCATAGTCAATATCCAATAGAATATCAAGTCTAAAAATAGCTACATATTTACTAAGATGTATGAGAGAGCATTAATATAGAGGTCAGATCGCTAAATTGTACCATTTTCCCAATAAATCAACTCTTTGACTGCTCACAGTATTGTAACATAAAGGGAGTTTTTCCTCCCCACTGTCACCAAGTGCTTGCTCAAGGGGGATTTGTTGGGTTTTCCCTATGTAATAATAGTGATAACAGTAAGGTCTAGACCTTACTTTGTAAAGTGTTCTGAGATGACTTTTGTTGTGATTTGGCGCTATACAAATAAAATTTGATTTGATTTGATTTAAATGCCCATAATACTCAGGAAGCCCCTCCCTTCACAGTGTCATGCTGCACACTGTAATGCCCTAAGATAATGGGAATAACAGACATATACTATGTAGGAAAGTCATAGTAAAAATAAAATTACTGTGGAAACAGGTAATGTTGCAACTGCAAATCCATTTTTAATGAAAAAGAATGACTGAAACAAATAACTGACTAGATTCTGACAAAGTGGTGAACAGCAGCCTGTTTGGGGTCAGACAATGTGGACACCATGTCCTCCCAGCAGCCCACAGCTTTAAGTTATGAATCAGAAACTCAGCAGAGAGAGTTAAAAAAAATCCATTCCTTGATCTAGACTGTGTAAATTCATGACTGGATAAAATAAAACCCATAAAATCACACTTGATATTAAGGCTGTGTCCCCGTGTCTGGGCTCTTTGGGGCAGTACTCACTATGTGTTCAAAAGCACAGACATCCTGTCACTTAATATGAAAGTATGGCCTGTTTTCTGCAAACACTATGATCAGCTGATCAAGCCTGTGCCTTTAAGGTGTTCCCCCGCCCCTTGCTGTTACATAACAAGCATACCTGCACAGTTAGAACAATTGTCGGTCACGGGAAAGGAAGTGCGTCGATACGGTTCCCGCAGACCAATCATCAACAAGGCCCGTGCGCAGTGGGCGTGGCTACAGGCGGTTTAAATTTTGAGAGCAAGTGTTAGTTTAATTTGTTGAGTCCTCGGAAAACTGTTCGTCGGTCGCTATAGTCGGTGTTGATTCGCGTTGGTTTGGCGCCAGGACGTTGCCAAACACATCCGCTTTGTGCTTGCAGGAAAATGGAGCTTTAAGTGTTCGGTAAGTCCCAGAACCTTCTTTAAGAAAAATGGTTTGTTTTAACACTGAAGTAGAAAGTGTATCTCAGTCTGTTACAATGAATTTGTTTCCTGCTCCATGACGTGGCCTGTAGATTTGGAATCTTTGAGTCAAGCTAATTTGTTATTTTTCTCTTTTCAGGTAGAACTACCGAACCGTAAGTCAGTTTATTTTTACTTTATAGTGG